GATAGATAGATAGATAGATAGGTAGGTAGATAGATAGATAGATTAGATAGATAGATAGATAGATTAGATAGATATAGATAGATAAATAGATAGATAGATAGGTAGATATATAGATAGATAGATAGATTAGATAGACTAGATAGATAGATAGATAAGAAAGATAGATAAATAAAATCGAATATTTAAAAACAAATGAACAAAATAGAAGAAATAGGCGGATTTTTTTCGATTGTTTTCAAAGAAAAAGCGAGCGGTTACTGCAAAAAAAAAAAAAAGGTGTAAACTGCCTCTTTATGTTTGTTTACAAAATTTAAATTTGCAAATTCGAGAAAATTTTTTTCTAACGTTAATTAATTATCTACCGCTAACGAAATATATTCTTAACGAAATATATTCTTATGATAGACAAAAAGTACAAACATCATTTATCAAATGTCAACGAAAGAAAAAAAAACGACTGCTAACATTTGTTCAGATTTGTTTTTTTTGGAATAATTTGGCTGACTCCTTTTTTTTCTTGTAATTTCATCAACAAATCAATAATGAAATTACAAATGTAAGCTCAATGGTAATTGAAAACTTTTTTTGAAAATAGTTGTTGCTTAATTAAAAGTTTAAAAAATGGTTATTGCATGATTGGGAATTTTAAAAATTCGGTTGTTGCTTAATTGAAAGATTTAAATTACCGTTAAGATAAATTCAAACCCTTGTATGCCTTTCTGCTCATTTTGAATGTTTCTGAGGTAAAGCCAAATATATTAGATCATAATCAAATGATAAAAATTTTCTCATGTGATATTAATTCATTGAGTTAAAGAGCAATTTGAATTTGTTTCAAATATTTGTGAAAATTGTTTCAATTTGTCAATATTTTTCCTATTTAATTTTATTAGCAAATTTGGTACAAAGTTGCCATCCTTTTATGTATTAGCAATAGGGTGGAAATTATTTTAAACAAATTAACTATTTTTATTACTTGACAAATCATCGAACTCATCTCTTCCAAAGTGCAATTCAATTCACTCATTCACTAACAAATACTTCAAGTTGACATTGGATGAAGAATTAAAAAACTATTCTCTCTGTCGTTTATAACAGTTTTTTTTTTTAAGTCGATCTCTTTTCACCTCTTAGATTTATCTCATTTTTGGTCAGTGAAATATAATTTCTATGGGAAACATTCATATGCCTTGCTTTTCTCTTCTTACCAAATAAATAATAATTGTTGTAAGATTTAATAAGCAATAATTTCAATGTAACATATCACAACAGTTTCAAGGCTAAAAAAAACTACATTTAGTCAAAATAATATCTTAATTATAAATATATTTTGAGTTATTAGATTGCATGATGGACAATAATTTGAAACTTGAAGTTTTCGCACTTTGACACAGCTGTAGAGTGTGCACTTTTCAAATGTTCATTTTAGTAATTTAAAGCTAACTCAGCAGTTTGCGAAATTTTTACAAAATTAACATGATATAGACGATAGCAAAGGATGATTAATATCACGAAGGGAAGGATGAATTACCCGCAGGTTCTAAGAAAAAAAAAGAAAAGAGAAGGAAATGATCTGAGTCATTGATGATCAATGGGAACAGATAGGATGAGTCATCAAGATAGAAGAAACCGAAAAAAATGAAAACAAACTCAACAGCTGAAAGTGCAACCATATTTAAAATGTTCTTTTAGTCCATAAATTATGCAGCTATCAGTAATGAAACAATTTACGTAACTAATTAAGCAATCTTTGCAAATCGAATGAATCATACAAATGCTTAAATATCCTGAAATATTTTTATTCCTGAATAAATTAACTGTTTCCATCCGGAAAAAAAATGAAAAATAAATTGATTTGCTGATGAATAAAAGTGCAACAAAATAATATATTTGCTTCGTTTCAACAAAATAATTTGCGTTACTTCACAATTTTTTTCGTCATATTTTGGATACTTATTGAATTTACAAACAAATCT